GTCGAGGGTCAGTAGGTATTTGTTTGATCGTAATCGAACATAACCTTTCATTAAATCGCGGTCGAGGGCTGGTAGGTGTTTGTTCGAGCAGGGTCGAACATAACCTTTCATTAAATAGAAGAAAAGGGCCGGTAGGTGTTTGTTCGAGCGGTGTCGAACATAACCTTTCATTAAATCGTGGCCAAGGGCCGGTAGGGGTTTCTTCGAGCGGGGTCGAACATAACCTTAACATGAAAAAGGTGTGCTAATAAGCGTAAGTTTCTTATTCCTTTGACATTGTTGCTTTTGTTACATACTTGGAGAAAATTATAGATTTTGGCTATTGGTTGGCGTTCCAGTCCTAGTCTATCTAGTCCCTTCGTTGGTTGATCTGGAGAGTATTGAGAGGTCGAGCAATGAAATAGTAACCACGATCCTACCTTCACGTACTTACACTCGAAGTGTTCCTTTTTCCATCTCGTTAAAAGCCTATTTGAGAAAACCCGAATGGACAAAACTCGAGGGAAAATAGAGTACGACTTGGGGGACGATTTTTCTCTCAGAAGTTGAAGTATTTGAGGTGGCTGATGTTCCAGTTGTTTGGTAGTAGCTTTCCTTCCATTGTCTCTAGTTGGAATGAACCCTTGTTCGCTTTGGCTATGATTTTGTATAGACCATCCCAATTTGTTCCCAGATTGCCTTCTCGGGGATCTTTGCTCGCTTGAGGTTTAGCTTTCAGTACATAGTCCCCGACTTTAAGCAGCCAGACCTTTGCTTTCTTGTTATAATAGTGTTCTGCTTGTTGTTTCTGGGCGACCATTCTTATGTAGGCCATATCTCTTCGTTTGTCAATTTTGTCGAGTTCCTTCCTTCTACTCTCATCGTTACTCGTTCCGCTTTTATGGGAGTACCTTAGGCTGGGTTTTTCAACCTCGACCAGTATTACTTCCTCGGTCCCATAGACCAAAGTGCAGGGCGTCTCTCCTATGCTCGTTTCGGAGTTGTTCGATAGGCCCATAATATTTCTGGTAGAATTTTCGGTCGCAGTCTGTTGGCGTCTTCGAGCTTTTTCTTCATGATGTTTAGTATGAACTTATTGGAGAATTCTGCTTGCCCATTACCTGCTGGATGGTATGGGGTTGAAAATATCCTCTATATTCCATTTCTCGAAGAATTCGATGTTTTTGTTTCTTGTGAACTGGGGTCCGTTGTCACAACTAATTTTCTTGAGTAGGCCGAATCGGCAGATGATGTTTCTCCATATAAAGGTGATTACCTCATGTTCCCATATCTGGACGAATGCTCCTGCTTCTACCTATTTAAATAAATAGTCAGTTAAAACCAAAATGAATCGTACATTACATCTCCCTGCTGGGAGGGGGCCCACGGTATCCATTCCCCATTTGATGAACGGCTAAGGGGAGGTGACCGAGTGGAGGTGTTCGCCTTCTTGGTGAATCATTGGGGCGTACTTTTGGAACTGTTCGCATTTCCTCAGAAACTCTGCGACATCCTTTTTCATGGTATGCCAGTAATATCCTGCCCGTATGAGGCATCTAATAAGTGCTCGATTTTCGGAGTAAGCTCCGCAATGGCCTTCATGGACTTCTTCGAGGACGCGCTGGATTTGGTTCAGGCCCAAGCACTTCGCCAGAGGGCCGCCGCAAGTCCTCTTGTATAGGTCGCTATGAAGGAGCCTGTGTCTGGCCGCTTGCATTCTTAATTTCTTGGCCTTTGTTTGTCGCCCGAGAGTGCGCCGTTCTACAAATATGCAATAATACTATTGCGCCAGTCCCAAGTTAAGTTTATGGTTCTTACCTCGATTTGGTCAAGTGATGAGTTGAGGAGATAGACTACGCTTTTATATCTGGTTGTGACGCTTTTGGTAGCTGCGACTAATTTGGCGAGGCCATCTGCTTCGGCATTTTGCGCTCGTGGGATCTGATCAAGCTGGCACTCGTCGAACTCAGGCAATAGCTTGTAGATTTTGGTCTGGTATTTTTGCAACCTTTGTTCCTTGACTTTGAAAGTCCTTGTGACTTGGTTGACTACGAGATGGGAATCACAACGGAGTTTCAACTGTTTCGCCCCATACTTGAGTTTTAGCCTTAATCCTGCAATTACGGCCTCATAATTAGCCTCATTGTTAGTCATATCAGAGCACCTTATGGACTGGCAAACTACTTCACCTGTTGGGACCTCGAGTACGAATCCCAGTCTAGACCCTGATGAGTTGGATGCGCTATCGGTGCATAGGACCCAGAGGTCTTGTGTTTGGAGGGAAGCTTGGACGACTTCCCTTTCGACTTCGGGCATTATTTTGGCACTGAAGTTGGCGAGCACATGTAAATTTATCATCGTTCCCAGCTGGTACGTAATATCGTGCTCACTTAGCTCAATGGCCCATTTGTCCAGCTTCCCCGACAACTTGGGTTTATGCAAAATGCTCCTCAGGGGAAAGGTTGTGATGACTGAGATAGGGTGGCATTGGAAATATGGTCTAAGCTTTCGTAAAGCTACGACCAATGCCAGGGCAAATTTTTCGAGGTGTTGGTACCTCATGTCGGCGTCGACGAGTGTTTTGCTAATGTAATAGATGAGATATTGCGTACTTTTGTTTTTGCGGATCAAGACTACACTTATTTCTACCTCATAGACGGCTAGATAGACGAGGAGTTGCTCCCTAGGTTTGGATTTTGAAAGCAAGGGCGGTGATGATAGGTATACCTTTAGTTCTTGAAAAGCCTGGACGCACTCGGAAGTCCATTCGAGGTCGTTGTCCTTCTTGAGTGCGCCAAATAATTTATGATATCTATCTGACGACTGTGAGATGAACCTTGATAGGGCGATGATAGGACTAGTCAACCTTTGGACATGCTTTTTGGTGGTTAAGAGTTCTGGTATCCACTCGATAGCTTTGATTTGGTCTGGGTTGACCTATATCCCTTGCTGCAACACCAGGAAAACTAAGAACTTTCCCGAGGCTACACCAAACACGCATTTCTCCGGGTTAGCTTTATTCTGTATTGTTTGAGTATGTCGAAAGTTTCTTTCAAATGATCGATGTGATCCTCTGCCCTTTCGGACTTGACTAATATATCGTCTATGTATACCTCCATCGTCTTACCGAGCTGGTCTTTGAACATCTTTGTCACCAATCTCTAATAAGTAGCCCCCGCATTCTTCAGTCCAAACAGCATGACCCTATAGCAATACGTTCCTTGGTGGGTGATGAACGTGGTCTTCTATTGATCTTCTTCCTCCATAAGAAGTTGAATATAGCCTGAGTAATCATCCAAGAAACTCAATAGTTCATGCCCGGTTGTTGCGTCAATTAGTCGATATGGGTTAATGAGAACGAATCCTTCGGACATGCTTTGTTCAAGTCCGTGAAATCCACGCACATCTGCCATTTCTCATTTTTGTTTTTGACCATCACTACATTAGCAATTCACTTGGGATACTTCGACTAACTGATGGAGCCATTCTCTAACAGTTTTCTACCTACTCGTAGACTACATCGTTGATGGCGGAGTTGAATTTATGCTTGACTTGCCTTACTGGGGGTGGAATGGGTCGACATTTAATTTATGTGTGGAAAATTCCTTTGGGATGCCCAGCATATCTGCATGGTTGAAAGCAAGTAAATATGCATTAGCTATTAAAGAATTGACTAAATTTACCTGGTTCCCTGAGTTTGCAGTCGATATAGGCCTTCTTGCTATGGTTGTTAGGGCCCATTTGAATGGGGTCGAGGTCTTCTACGATCGAACTTGCAGCCTCGACCATGTCGGGATCTTTGATGACATCCCCGGTCTCTTCTTGCTTCGACCTCGACCCTGTTGATTGTTATGCCTCTTTTTCTTTGTCTTTTTTTCTGCTGGGTGGTCGTGCTATACAAGGCAATGTGGTAGCATTCCCGGGACGTGCGTTGTTCCCCGCGTATGCTGAATATCCCCCATAGTGTTGGAAATTTAATTACTTGGTATAGGCTGGAGGGGATGGCTCTCATGGGGTGTATCCACGGTTGTCCCACTATGGCGTTGTACGAAGTGGCCTAGTCCATGATGTAGAATGTCATCTCCAGAGTCACGCCACCGGCCAAGACGGGGAGTGTAATTTCCCCAGATGTCCGCTCAACTGCATTATTAAAATCGGTTAGCGTGATGCAGTATGACACTATCTTATCCTCGAGACTCATTAGGGTAAGGACTCGGGGATGGATAATGCATGCACTGCTTCCATCGTCCACCATGATGCATTTGACATCGGTATCTAAAATGCGTAAAGTAATAACGAGGGCATCATTATGAGGGAAAGTCAAATCGTCAGCATCCGACTCGTCGAAGATGGTACTCTCTTCGAGTCTGTCGTACTGTTCGGGGGTGATAGACCGCTTGAACTTGTGAGTGGTGATGAACTTCACGTTGTTGATAGAGGCGTTGTCGCCATCACCGATGATTATGTTGAAGGTACGAGCTGGCGATGGCGGCTTTGGCGGGCCTTGATGTTCACATCCTCTGGAAAAGTTAGTCCTCCGCTTATCGCTTAACAGCTCTTTGAGTTGCCCTTGACGTAATATATTTACGACTTCTTGTCTGAGGGCGATGCAATTTTCTATTTTGCGCGCGTGTTCCTGGTGGAACTCACAAAGGGCATCAGATTTTCTGGTGTTCGGGTCTGATCTCATCATCGGCGGCCACTTCACTTTTGTTCCGAGTTTCTCAAGAGCATAGACTATTTCTGTAGGCGACACCAAAAAATTATGAGCAGCTAATAAAGGAGGCATACTTCTTTCATTCCGATGGGTCCCCGTCCTTGGCTTGGACAGGCCTACTTCATAGCGGAGGGAGGGTGAGGCGGCCCCCCTGACATATAGTTGGTGTCATTCCCTGTTAGGTAACGGAATCGGATGATCTCTTCTTGTATTGTCTCTTCATTCTTTTCTGGATTCGGCTTGTACCAAGGTTAGCCGGTGAGTTGGTCTGTTGAGGTCGTCCTCGTTTGCTTAGTCATCGGCACAATAAGCATTGTAGATTTCGTCCCAAGTGGTTGGAGGATACTCCATCAATCAGCTCAACAGTTTTCTAGTCTCACTAGGGGTGTGTGCAGACTCCGGAGGGGCTCCTACAGTCCAAGCTCTATCATAAGCCAGATCCAGGCATAAATCAATATAGCATGCTGCGGCATGCAGCACGATCCCATAACTGTTACTCATAATCAGGCTCTCGGCCTCACTCAGTCATAAATCTCTCCAGTGTCACTCACGGGCTTACAACGTCATGAAACTAGCATGACAACAATGATATGATGTATCAATAAATAACAACTGAGACTGCGATATGATAGGAATACATGAATATGACAGAGTACGAAATATCAATGAAATCAGTGAGATGACAGCAAGAAACTACCACTATCATTGTACTCTTCTTTATCTATAGAGGCTCCGTAGACATAGTGTGGGTTGTGTTTTGGTACTGGGAAAGACAAACTATGCTATGTTGTGGTTGTATTACTTGTCCATTTGAGACTTTAAAAATGGTGAAACTTATGGTAAAAAATTGGTAACTGCAGACACGACCACTTTATTGTTTAATTAAGGAAAAATATATTCTTTTTATTCATGAATGAGTTTGGGTAGAAGAAATCTAACAGGCTTGCTCGGTCGGGTTCACTCGGTTGAGTGCCGGTCGCGCTCCACGATTTTGGGGCGTGACACTTACGTCCTTCCTTTTCGTATTCATAATCAGGGGAGTGATTTATGGCTTGACTTGATCGATCAATATTCAGAATCTCCTGATTCCAAATCAATCCTTGAAGTAGGGACTATCATTGCACTTGATCTTGTTTCCTTTTTTATGGCTTTGACATCATTTGATTTAGCATTGTCCTTGCTGCATTCGATTTTGTTTCCTTTCTGATATCTTTAACATATTGACTTTCTTTGATTTAGTACTGCCCATCTAATTTCCTACAATTAAATAGATACAGTTAGATTTATATTATTTTCATCATTGAAACTCAGGTGTAACACTAATGAAACGTGGAAGATCCCTCAAACTTATGCCTTCCATGCCTGGTATCCAATCCAAAATCGTTTCCAAGTACCCATTTGTCAAGCAACTTTCATCTGCAGTCCAAAAGTAGATTAACAAACCAAAGATAAGAACCAAATTAAAGATAATAATAACAAGGTTAAGGCCCAAAGATACTAATAGGCAAGGCCATTTTAAAAGGGAAAAAATGTATACCATTAAATGGAGTGTATCCTTTCTCAACAAGATCACGGTAATGCATGTAACTTAATAAACCACAAGCACTTGGATTCCAAAGGAGAACTTCAGGGATTCCCAAATCATGAGAAGCATCCATAGTGAAGCTCATAGCACCATCAAAAACGATGCACGAGACAGGTGGCATGTTTGAGGTGGAAGTATCGTTAAGCTTGGCAAGCAACTCCTTGAAAGCACCCAAACAAGTGGTGGTAGTGGATTTACTAAGAGAAGAAATATTTTGGGTAGAATCAGGGTCACATGGCGGGAGGCCATCGGGAATGGTCTCGAAACGAAAGGATGGCAATCCCGTTAGCGTATCGGGGCCTCTAGACTTAAGAAGATGCCTATGGTTGTGTTCAGTTTTTACAAAGGTAATATGAAAGCCTTTGTGGTGGAGGATTTTGGCTAATTTTAACATAGGGCTAATGTGGGTTTGGGCAGGATATGGTATGCAAACTGCATGAGGCTTGTCTAAATCATTAGCGCTAATGGAACACATTCTTTAGTTTCCTTATTGAGTTATCTTTCTTTCAAACAGAAATACGAAAGATTGGTATGACTTTGGCAAGTGGATGAGGATGCATATATTTATAGACGATATAAAAAGAGGCAACATCTTTATACTCCTTCCTAATTTACATTAAATCTTAATGTTAGCACTATGACATAATGGCCTTACTTTTGATATTGTCCACATCTGCAGGACATTTTGCTAACGGCGCGAAATAAGGACAACCCCACTACTTGGCAAGAATTGAATTGTCCACTGCGTTGCAAAATTATGGCCACTCCCCCAAAAATGTTAGACATGGGTATGCGTTTATTTTTCGGATACGCTAGCATTATTGACAAACATATGGCCTAAATTAGTGACTAGATTTCTTCAAATATTGTAGAGCAGGCACGACACTGACACTTAATCATTGACTCACCAATCCATTAACAATTCCATATATTAGCCAAGTAAAATCACAATGGTTACTACATGTCACGACTGCAATAGACTCCTAAAATATAGGGCAGTAGCTTTTCCCACTTCTAAACCACATCCAATATTTGTAATTTATAAATAAATATCAAGATCACCATCATTTGAATATCCAATATTAAGAAATTAGACTAACTCATCAACTCTCCTCACTTAATTGACCATTCTTTTCTTCATTCACACATTGTATAAGTTAGAACTTAGCTTCTTCACTTTTGTATTTTAATTTTTGCTACGATATATGAAGCATTGTACTTCTCAGTACTTGGAAAACGATTACTAAATAAGTTTATTTATTTATTTACTTCTTTTACCTTATATTTTGCTCATTACTTTTAAATTTTTTCTTATTTCGGTGAGATTTTTCGTGAAGCATGAAGTCGCAAGTAAGTTTACCTGTTATGGAGAGTAAATCATCATATATTGGAGTTTGAATTTGGGCAGGTCTTGGACCACAAAATTCGTCATTATTCAAATTTAATCAAAGTCGACATCAAAAACAGAGAAAGCATCTCATATTTGAAAGAAACTAGTAGTAATAAATTTGTGTAATGACTCAACCGGTCATTTTAACTTTTAGAATTCCGTTTCTTAAAATAAAATTTCTCGTATGTGCTTTTAATGATTTATGACTTGCGGGGATGGTTGGTGTCACGATCCAAAATCTAACCATGGTCGTGATGGCGCCTATCGTGTTACAAGGCAATCCTATTTCCCAAAATATTACTACTAAATCGATTATAAGAATTTAATAAAACAATACCAACATTTGAATTTCTCATCAATTAAATCAACTCTAAATATAATATAGAAAATACGAAAACGAGCCCCAAACATCGGGGTGTCACTAAGTCATGAGCATCTAAAACTATGAACTAAGATATATAAGCTGTCTAACTGTCCAAAAGAAAAAATGACAAGAGGAGTAACAAGGTCCTGCGGACGCTAACAGCTACCTTACAGTCTCCAAAGATAGCCAGCCTGAACTCAACGATCGTCGCTTTCTAACTCACCTGGATCTGCNGGGCCTCACAGGATGGACCAAGTCTCAATCCCTCAAGGTATACACCCACACGCCCGTCATCTAGCATGGGTATCACCTCCAAACAGTCATACGGTATCAAATTCTTCGGGTTTATACACTCAAAGCCAGAGTTAAAACTGTTACTTACCTCAATAATATAAAATCCTACTCTGGGATGCCCTCGTCTCTGGACTCGGTCTCCAAAGGCTCCAAATCTAACCATAATCAGATTAATACCATCAACATAGGCTAACGAATCGAATTCCACAATAAAAACTACAAAATATGCCAAAAATTTAAAACCGGCCAAAACTCGGCCCCCGGGACCACGTCTCGAAATCAGTCAAAAATGACCGAATAATAAACCTCGTCCTCTCCCGAGTCTAACCGTATAAAATTCATCAAAATCGGACTCTGTTTGGTCCCTCAAATCCTCACTTANCGTCACTCCATCACTCATCGCTCGCACTCAACACTCTGCACTCACTGGGGGTGTGTACAGACTCCGGATGGGCTCCCAAAGCCCAAGCGCTAAGCACGGACAACTCACGTGCTACGCGGACAACTCATGCGCTATGGTATCAATACCTGGACCCGTACGACCAACTCACATGCTACGCGGACAACTCACGCGCTATGGTATTAATATCCTCACAACCAGGCTCCCGGCCTCAC